CTGATACCAATACTGATACTGATACTACGACAACGACTCCGACTACGATCACGACGACGACCACGAGCCATGAAGCGCGTCATGAAAAGCAACGTCTGCACGAACATTTCCAACGAACCTCCTTTCATCGCTTCGCTCATTCCCCAAGCAAAATTTCCAATCTGTCTGTAGTTTCAGAAATTTCATGCAAAGTCAGCGTGCCCTTAGCTTCGGGGTTCCAGTTTCGGATCGGCTGCGCATGGTTTCGGATCACAGGAGGATAGTTTCGGCGCCCAGTTTCGGCGCGGCGGGAATCAGTTGAGGGATACAAGTTTGTCAGTTTCGAGGGGGGGCAGGTAGTCCGATTCTTGCAGGCCGGCCCTAAAACTGAGCATGGCGTGAGACCGAAACTGAGCATGTCCTGATCCGAAACCGTCCCGGACCATGTTCCGAAACTCCACCCCACCGAAACTAACCTTCAAAACCCTGAAACTTACAACTTCCATGCAAGGCCGGTGCTGTTTGGGTTCTCATAGAGTCAACGGACATGAGACATTGGAAAACATGCAACACACGTTTGCAGTGACCCCTGCAGTCTGTCAAACTTTCACGTGTGAGAAGGTCTCACAGGTTGGAAGATCCTTGTGTCTCGTCGCAGCAGTTGCTTCATTGAACAAGCCAACAAAGAGAGCGAGCTAGGAATAGTTGGGACGTTTGTGATAAATAATAGATTCAGCAATCGGGCTGGCCAACTCGACCTGGCATCTTTCAAAACGTGAAGAGTTCATGGCCAAGGCTCCGAAGGAATCGTTGGGCTCGCTTGGCACACGACTCCCTCGACTCGCGAACCATATCTTGGTGCCATATTCCATCATGAGACGTCGAGATGCGGGAGAAATCTACCTGGAAAATTCAGGGGCAGAAAGCATCTGGCATGGTTAGAAACACCATTGCTCTCATTTGCCTGGGGGAACTCCTCCTGTAGCTCTTCAACGGGGCGGCGCGAGTTGTGCGCCGATGCTGAAACCAGCTCGCGCAGTTCCTGTGCATGAAGTACATTCATTGCAGTCTTGGTGCCACATCTCAACGCAAGTGCAGTAGCGCGAAGCTTCCTCGAGAGCCAGAACACAACCAATCTTCGGCCGGAAGGCCAGAAGGGCAGTTCTCAAGCAGCGCCTCAAAGGCGATGTTAGGACGATATCGGGCCAGTCGGCATCCTCAGGCGACACACTGCTGCCAGTCGACGAGGGTAACTCCACCTTTCCAACTGAATGCCTTTTTGGACGAGGGACTTTCTCCAATGTCCGCGCAATGCCCTCTGCCTGTTCCTCGCCATACTGTGTCAGCCTGCCAAGACCCTGCTCAGGCCACTGGCAGAACGGGCGAAGTTAGCAGGTTCTTCCCTGGCCTAGAATCCACATGTTGTGGCCCAGATCCTCCTTTTGAGAATGCCACGTTGTGCTCCGCTTGGCCATGTCGCACGAAGTGCACCATCCTGGATCCGGTTGGCCTCTCACCTGCAGTTGTGCTTTGTCCTGCGTCTTGTTGCCAGAAACACTTCCAATGTAGCCAGGTAACACTGGTCATACGGCAGAACGCGCACCGGCAACGGTGACAGAACCTGACCTAACCACATCACATGCACGAACAAGCCTCACAAAGCCATGCAGGAGGCACCTCATGCATAGTGCTCCAGGCCTCCATGTTGCACCGCCAGCGGAAGCAATAAACAGCACAAACAAAGCTTCACTCCTTGGCAGCGCGATTTTCCCTAGATCGACGAAATGAAAAGCTGAAGACCCATCATGTCACAACAGGGCGAACAGATGGTCGAGCTTCGATTGGCCATGTCTTCCCTTCGTCATCTCTAGCTTTCCTACTTGACCTGCTTTGCTTGGGTGTCTATGTGAGGCTTGAGAATGAGAAATGCAGCAGACGGGCAGACGGGGCAGGGCACCAGCACCAAGGCACCAAGGGGACCAAGGGGACCAAGGCGGCAAGTCGCCGGCTCAGGAGGTCCTCGTGCGGGACAGGGCTGCCGGACGCCGCGCTGTACCATTGACCAGATTCTTCGGGAACGGGAAGCTGCGGCCAGGACGGCAAGCACAGCGGCATTCACATCACTCGAAGGGCCAGCACTCGTCAGAAAAGCTGAGTGCTGCACTGTTGCAACTGCCAAGCCTAAGAAGCAAGCTAGTGCCTTTGGAAACACGCCTGGACGGAACATTGCCCGTCATCAGCAGCCAACAGCTGCGAAATGCACGAACCAGCAACTGGCATGCGGCAGGCACTCGTCTCGTCCTAGAAGTTCCACGGCCCACATCTCATGAAGACTTACATGAGGCAAGTTCCAGCGGAGTTCCTGCTGGGTGGCCAGCAGGATGCGCTCAACGGCAGAAGCTTTTGTGTCATAATACTCTCGCCACCTCAGCGACGAGCACTTTCGGCCTGTCGCTTTCAGCGCCTCTGTGTTTTCGGCTCCCGATTGGACAACGGCCCACGTCTCTTGTCCACAAAAACCGGGCCTTAAATCTGTAAGTCTCAGGAACACAACTTTCTGGCACATTGAACTGCGTCCTTCTCCCCTTGGTGCACTCAGGGAAAATGTGCCCGTCCTGTCCTCGCACCTTGCTTCGGTTCTTCAAGCTTCGGCCGGCACCTGGCACATGTAACAGTCTCCACGGCTTCTAACCGACAAGCTCGTGGGTGGCACTGCAAATCACTGCAAGTCTCAAGTCGTCCAATTTGCACAGTGCTCCATGACCGTTTCAGAACCGCAGGACCGGGTTCAGCACGATCACGACAACACCGTCATCGACACCAGCTTGAGGTAGCTTGTGTTTGGTTGTCCCGACAGAGGGATGAGACCGCAGACCTTCGGGAGAACTCGTCATGTCACACTGCGGCATACTGCAGCTCTGCGACTTCTGGGGCGGACGTGTTGTCTTCGGGCTCACTTCTTGCAACTGTCCTGAAGGACTGGGCCTCAGGCGGCCTGCACGAAGGAGAGGTGCTCCGACATGTTCCAACCCGTAGTAGTGATAAGTTGCCACATTAACCCTGCATCCATGCAACTGTTCCTCATCACGTGATAGCGCGGGATTCTGGTTTGAACTTGCGTCCTGTTCAACAGCCTGAAGCATGCTTGTTGGCCTTTCGCTGAGGGTGAGCTCTGCTGCAACGCGCCCCACCAGTTGTTGGAGCTTGCAGGTTCCCGGCAAAGCTTGTTCGATCGAGAGTAGCAAGCAGATCTGAATAAGCGGAGAGCCCACGCTCTGCTAGAAGCGGAAGTGTTTGTGACTGGGTGGAGGTGGCGGCGGCGGTCGGCTCCGGATTGCCCGGCTCTGCTCCCGTGAGTCTTCGGGAAGAGACTTCAAAATCTCCTGGCATTGTCTCAAAGCTTCCTGGATGTCAGCGGTGCATGGCGCGATCACTGCAACCAAACGACCTGACGTCTCAAACGGGCGGCAGCTGAGTCGAAGACCACACAAGGCAAGCTGCTGCTGAGGTAGCGCCCGAATCACGAAAGTTTGATTTATGTGCGTCTCAGCCCACGCATGTTCTCCTGCATGGCAAGAGAGCGTGGGCATCGAACGCTCCTGACCCCGGTGGTTGTACCAATGAGCTGCGAAGCCAAGACCTCCCAAGAGCTCCTTAGCAGCTCCGAGGGCCAAAATCACGCGGTCGTCTTCTCCCACGCGGCCATGGGAACCCCAACGGCTCCGGCCACTTCCCTGGCGACTTGCCCAGGCCACGCAGTCTTCCGGTACCAGCTGGCAGTAGTTTCGGGGATAAAGGACGAGTCTCAGCTTGGGGAGCCCGCTTTGGCTCGGAAGCTCGAGCCTTGGATCTGGGCCATCTGGGCATTTCTAGAAGCAGGGCTCTGCGTAGGACCAGGCTGAAACGCAGCCAAGGCACACATCGCAGTCAGTCGCTGCGGGGACTCGCTGCGGAAGAGACGTGCTCGCCGTTCTCTCGGCATCCGTGACTCCAAGAGACATCACGGCCCGGATCATCCTTATTACTTGTTCGTTATTGATGTCCCACACAAGGCCATCTTCGCCGGGTGGGGGGTTTTAACACAAGGCCTTGACGGCCGATATCACGGCTTCAGGTTCCAAATATTCGCAAGACAACATCTCCTCAAGGCAATCAAGCAAACAAGTGCCGTGGCCCTGCATCGATCCCTATCCGGCCAGCTACAGGTAGTGGACCACCGAGTCTCTCCGCGGAAGGCTCAGCTTCTGCAGGGATCTGCCAGTGACTGTCGCTGCCTGACGGGCCGCTCACACTGAGTCGGCAACTGCAGGCCAGTACACTGCCTTCACCGGTCTCCAAGCGGAAACCGAGTGCAAGAAGAGCCTGCTCGGCAAAGCGGTAACACACCACTGCTCGTGGCGATGCATAGCAAACTGGCCAGTGCCTCGGTCGCCAGATTGTAGCTGCTGGTCGTGCGCGACCGGACTGTCTCATCGCGCAAGCGCCGGAACTTCGAGCGAGCCTCAAAAGGGGAAGAACAAAACAGCGAGGCAAGGTCGCGCAGAGGGGCCTCACTGCTCGGCTCCGAGATTGAAAGATTCTTTGCGACCGTGACGATCAATTTGCGGGTAGCCTCAGCATGCGCGCTTCAAACACCTGGAAAAACGCACCTCTGCCACTGGGAAGGCTACGTCCGGAGCTGATGCGAGGCTCTGAAGAAACCGGTCCTCGAACACAGCAAGTATGCACAAAGATTCGCAGATGAAATCTGCTACATGCGGCCACGGCATGTCGTTCTTGAGCTGCCGCGCCTGGTCGCTTTCCGCATTGACGCCAAGGCTGAGAAGAATAGCCTGCCCGAGTGGCAACTGCTTCAAAAAAGGGAACATTCTTGCCGACGCCTGCTGAAGCTCGGCATCGTCTTGCTCCATAGTCTATAGTATTCAGACTTGATTGTGCAGGACGAGGCTGCAGCAAGAAAGGTGCACAACTGCACGTCGTAAACCAACGCCTTTTGAGCCAGTATTCCGCAAATTCGAAAGACTTCAGCACACAGATTTCGCGAATACCCCGGGAAAGCATGTCAATAGCAGCCTGACCAAACAAACCACGACCACAGCCAAAGCATCTTTGACTCCAGGGGATCTGCCCTCGCGCACCCAAGTTGCTTTTGAAGCACTGGGATGATGTTCGACGTTGAAAGCAGAAGTCTGAATGCTCAGGGTACTCCAACAATCCCGGGATGTCTCAAGGCTACTCTTTCAATTCTGTCCTTGCCGCCTCGTGCTTTTCCAGTTTCTGCTCATTTGGTCATGTGGCGGGGCTTGCAAATGCTTTCTGAGATGCTAGGACCCAGCAGTTCAGAGGCGGAGGAAGTCTCCTCTTTCAGCCTGCGCGCTCCATTGAAAGCGACGACCTGAGCTACGGCCGTCATATTGCTCTTAGGGTTTAGGGTCTTTTAGGGTTTAGAGTTCAGGGTTTAAGGTTTAGGGTTTAGGGTTTTGGGGTTTAGGAGTTCAGAAATTCGGGCATCCTGCCCGCATTCCCTGAAACAGATTGGAGTCCCTGCACTACCTCACAGATGCCGCCTGCCTTTCCTTGATAAAGATCGTCCAAGACACGCTGGGCTGCATATTTACCTCGCACCCCAGATGCCTTGGCCCATTCATTCTCTCCGAAGTCTTCAAATGTGCTGTTGTGGTAATAGTAGGTAGCCTGATCCTCTGCACCCGTCTTCCGCATGCTAAGCCGAGCAGAAGGAGCCTCACGCCAGTGCTTTTCAATCGAGCTGTAACTAATCCTCAGTCTGTGGATATCTGCTTCTGCTTGTCGTAAGTGCTCACCAAGCTGCGCGCAATTCTGCTGACAGTGAGGAACTTATGGAGTGGACCAGTGGATCCGTCGCTGCTTGGCCCGCGGCCATCAAACAGTCCACACAAATACCTGCTGAGAACTAAGCATAAGCAGGTCTTGCCGGTGCGGACTCGTTCTGTCGAGAAGAAACCCCCCTTACGACACAGAAAGGACTAGAATTGACCATTGTGCCGTGAAGCACTAGTCACAAGTGGTTGCACAAGTTGACAAGACGATCACAAGAAAGTCAGCAATCACTGGTTACAGAAGTACTTTGCAATTGTGTATGAGCGAGTCACAGGATTTCTTTCCGTGCTCGATGTGCCCCAGCTTTGACCTTATTATTCGACCAACGTACTGCCATGCTCGCGCAAATTTCGATGCGCTCAGTCTCCTCAATGCGTGCAGAAACTAAACAGGCGATCTTGATTGAGTACAACGCAGAATCGATGCTGCTCCGTTTACACCCTCAAAATTACGACCACACACATCCAAGAACAAAAATCAAAGCGGCTGGAAGTCCGGCAGTCGCGGCAATGCACGGTCAGCGCGAAAGCCATGCCGCATCCTCCAGGAGACTACTGCCTGAAGCGGACAGCTCTTCAAAACTTGTTTGACTGTTTGTTGCCGCGCAGGGTTATGTTAGCGTCGCATGTGCACGCCGTGCGGTGGAGTTGCTTATGTGCTGCAGGCCCATTCCAATCTTAAGTAGCTTTTCGGCTGCACAAAATGCAGCGGGAACTGCGAGAATGAAACTGTAGTCCCGGAAGATCCATGTTGCTAGGCACTGTCCCTGCATGCACGTGCAACAACAATCTTCCAGAAACTGCACATTAACAGCCGAAGGCTTGGAGTTAAAGCTCCTGGTTGCAAGAAACACAAAATAAACGACTTCCTCAGTTACTCTTGATCGATTTGGCTGGAGGCTTCGATGGGAACTTGAGAATCGAACTCTAGAGGGGCAGAGACAGAGAGGTCATCGACCGTGAAGGGTCGCAAATGGTCGCAAGCAGGGCCGACTTCCACGTGAGTCATGGGACTTGCAACCATCGTTGTCATGCCGATCGCCCCCCCCCTTCCCAGCCCCCTGGACATGACATGGTCTCGGGGTAGGCTAAGATGTCTCCGAAACAGTTGTGGTACACAGGTTGTTGAAAAGCATAGATGCCTTCAAAAATGGATTTTCGGAGCATCGGAACGATGGCAGCGGACCTACGGCGTAGACGCCCCTGTCTGCCTCCACGGAACCACCTCCAGCTTGGCGCATGCGAATCGAGGAGATGCACCTCGCCACAGGCCAAAGCACAGAAAAAGTAGGATGGGGCAAAGGCCAGTACGTAAGGTGGCACTCGACACTAGAATCTGCTAGAATCTGTAGAACCGCGTGCACAACTGCCCCGACAGTTTCGGCCACCCGTCTGACCTTCGATTGGCGGACGTCTTCCCTATCTTGGCGTGGAGCTTTTTGGCCATGACAGTCTGCCGGAACACACGGCGCTCATCCTCCATTGCTTCCGGTGATGGCACCGGTGGCAGAGGCACGGGGTGCCAATCTTCGAAAGGAAACTCACCAACAAAAGCTTCTGTCGCCGCTTCTGGGGATGCTGGCGCCTCAGCTTTCCCGGCTTCGAATATCATATGGGTTCACGAAGCTGAATCTTGATCCCCAATAGACTCCAAGACAGCACCGAGCAATCTACGATTCATCGGGACCAACATCGTTCACTTTGCACACTGCATGTACTGTGATTCCGGAAGAAGACACGGTGTGAGGACTTTCAAAGGATAGCAAAGGATGGCACCAGGTGCCGCGCGGAGAGCAGAACAGGGCGAAGAAAGCCATGCAACTGATACTTGTCGCATGAGTGCCAAGCTGCACCACGGAGAGACACCAGCGGAGTTAGGGGAGTGGAGCTCTTTGTAGAGGGGCACGCCGTCGAAGCAGACCACGGAGCCGCAGCCTGTACTCAGAATGCGCTTTGACAAGGAGATGATGTGCTGTCACGACTCTGCCTCAGTGAACTCTGTGCCAGCTGGCACTGGAGGCTTTGCCCTCGCGAATTCATCGCGAACGCCGGCGTCTCCTCTCTCCTTGCAAGTACCCGTGCGGAGACTTCCTCCCCATGGCAGCCTCGACTCCAGGACCCAGTCCGACTCTTGCAGTGTCGGCAGCAGGTTCAGCACGTCTCTCCACATATCTCTTTTCTTCTCCTGCCAACGGAGAAGAAAAGCTGGACTGGCTGCCGAGGCGGTGACTTGATTCTCTCTGAGCATAGCTCGCAGCTCAAACTTCCAGCTTTGTTTGGATTCAGATCAACCGGAGCTTTCAGGCTGCGGCATGGCAGACAGCATCGAAACCCCTTGTGGCTTCCCCCTTGCAGAGCCATCGTTACTGATGCGTCAAACCCAGCCAGACCCAATTCCCGACTTCCCAAATCCACCGTCAAAATTCGCGACACCCTTGGATTTAACACTTCAAGTCTGCGACAAATTCTGCGGCTATTGATGTAAGACGAACAGAACTTGCGACCTTCGAAGAACATGGGGCCAATGCATGTACCTTGCCTGCAGCTGAAATTTCTCGGCAGGCATCGCTGAGCGCTCAGCCTGGGACAGCGCTGCCGATGCTGTGATTTCACGAATGATGAGAAACATGAACACCAATTTTCATTCTCCATGTACGGGTGCAGGAGAGTGTAGAAAGTTGAGTCTCAGACTTCTGCGATGTCAAGAACTGACCTGACACTCTGCAATGCTTCCCCCATGACCTCCATCGCCACACCTGATGGATTCTGGCAGAGACGTGACTCGTGAAGCACATGCTGCATGTCGCGTTCGTTCTGGCTGGGCCTGAGTCCTCCAGATGCTGGAATTCTGAGTGCAGCTCTTGCAGCCTTTCTTTCATTCGCTCCCTGACCGAAACAAAGAGACTTTCGAGACTCTCGGCCACGGACAACAAGAAAACGAAGCGTCAAGATCTGATGCAAAGGCATGGCACTGCTCCCGTCTATCCCAATATCCCGATGTTCGTGCGGCTTCAGGCGAGCAGCACTTCATTGATGCTGTTGCCGAGCGCTTCGGCATCTAGCCGTTGCGCTACTTCGCGAACTTCGGACAACAGTTGTTGTCTGCGCTTGCTGCGTGTCCTGCGCAGCTCTGTGCACCGGGTCATCTTCACGTGTATTACAAGCGCATGGCATCTGCGTGATTATTCGATTCACGGTCCTGGTCTGCTCGTCATCACCAACAGGATCGGGCACAGTCGACAGTGCCTGAACGACAGAGTTCAACGACTAGGCTGCGGCTGCTTGGTAGAATGCTTGGAGGCAGGAAGCACCATATTAAAACGTTCATCCCTCCACATAACCTGCATGAGCCCACCTCGCAGACGGTTTGTAACCTCTGGACTTCGTACTGGCGCGCTTCGATGGAAATTTCAAGTGAACCTCGTTCTTCAAAGTTGTCAGTCAAGGCTTTCACGGCTCGACCTGAGTGCAAAGACCCGTTGGGCGTCGACTCAAAAAGCCATGCAGCCGGACAGAAACATCCTTGCAAGATCTTGCAAACAGCGCGGCGTGCAAACAGCGTCTCCCGAGAACAGGTAACGATAGCATGCGAAACTTGTCGCAGCAGCTCCCAAGACCTCACGGCCTCAGGCCAAGATGGACTCAACACACCATGCTCAGCAACTTCAACCAGCTTCAACAGCCGACAGCTGCAGCCGGATCTCAATGGCAAGAGATGCGGCATTGAACACGGATAACACCGGCCTTAATTTCCACGGCTGATATGTCTCCCTGTTGCTTTGCACGTTCCTCCGCCAGCGCCGTGGCCTCTGCAAGCAACAATTGCTTTGATAACGTAATACTGCCGCAGCTGTGTGCGTGAAGTCTTTGCTGAAGGGCAAAACGCTGTAGTTGCTTGACACGCGCGCTTCAGAAACTTACAATGCTTTACAATGCCAACACTGCGGCTGGAACAGCCTCTGCTATGGCACTGGAGACGTTCTTGAGCTTCCTCCTGGCCTGATTCGGATCTTCAAACTAGACGCTTCTTATACACTCATTGAACTCGGAAT